AAGAGGTGGTGGACTAATGGGGGGGAGAGGTGGTCCTAGAGGAAGCAGCTACTGTTTGTGGGTCCAAGATGAGGTGAGAGAGGGGTGAAGAGTTTTGCCTTTCAAACCTACAATGGTAATTGGACTGTATTTACAGTGCCTTGCGTAAAAGCAACACAGCTCATCACCTTGAACACACCATCCCCACTGTCAAACATGTTGGTGGCAGCATCATGGTTTGGGCCTGCTTTTCTTCAGCAGGGGCAGGGAAGATGGTTAAAATTGATGGGGAGATGGATGGAGCCAAATACAGGACCATTTTGGAAGGAAACCTGATGGAGTCTGCAAAAGACCTGAGACTGGGACGGAGATTTGTCTTCCAACAAGACAATGATCCAAAACATAAAGCAAAATCTACAATGGAATGGTTCACAAATAAACATATCCAGGTGTTAGAATGGCCAAGTCAAAGTCCAGACCTGAATCCAATTGAGAATCTGTGGAAAGAACTGAAAACTGCTGTTCACAAACGCTCTCCATCCAACCTCACTGAGCTTGAGCTGTTTTGCAAGGAGGAATGGGCAAAAATTTCAGTCTCTCGATGTGCAAAACTGATAGAGACATACCCCAAGCGACTTACAGCTGTAATCGCAGCAAAAGGTGGCGCTACAAAGTATTAACTTAAGGGGGCTGAATAATTTTGCACGCCCAATTTTTCAGTTTTTTATTTGTTAAAAAAGTTTGATATATCCAATAAATTTCGTTCCACTTCATGATTGTGTCCCACATGTTGTTGATTCTTCACAAAAAATTACAATTTTATATCTTTATGTTTGAAGCCTGAAATGTGGCAAAAGGTCGCAGAGCTCAAGGGGGCCGAATACTTTCGCAAAGCACTGTATTTATAGCCTTTTGTTGCAGTATAGTGGGAGGCAGAACAGTGGCTCTATTCTCATTTTGATCAGCTGTGTTTTCACACCATTCAGTGGCTTTTATCAGTCATTATCAATGCCAAAAATATGATTATTTTGACACAAGCAAAGCGGGACATGAGGCAACATAGTATATAGATGGTGAGGGTGTCAGGGCTGCTCGGCGGCCGCTGCCTCTCCTCCGTTTTGTTTCTTTGTTTTCTCTGTCTTATGGGCTCTGCACCTCAGCTGTGTTGCATTCCAGTAATTGCTACGCTGACAGTCTCTGTGCGTTTTGGCTTGACTCTATTCACACTACATAGGCGCTACACTACACACACACATTAACCTTCTTCGTGCCCACACAGCGCCGTCTTATGTATGTGCGATTGGAATGCTATGCTGACAGACTGCGTGTTTTGGCTTGACTCCTCTCACACAACATACTCTATTCCCACTACACCACATAGTTTTGATTTGTCTCCGCAGCTTTGCTACATGTCTTGTTAGATACTTACCCTGTTTTCTACCGTTAGTTTGTGTGTGCACCTGTTCCTGGTCTCCGTCGTCATCACTCCCCTTCGTTTGTATGTATTCTGGACACTTATGTTGTTGCTTTGTTCTATTGTTTAACATTAAACCTTTTGTTTTGTACTAGCACCTGGGTCAGCAATCTTGAGTCCTACCCCTAGTCCTCCCTCACCCTCCTGGCGAGGGGGACTAACCATAACAGAGGGAGGCAGTGGTGGCTAGATGGATGGGTCAGAAAATACACTACTTTCCCACAGTAGACCAATGTTTGATTCCATTGTGAAACACTGTGGTTTTTATCAATGAGCATTGTAACCCAAACTGCAATCTTTTAAATACTTTATTTAAAGTTTATAAAAGTTTAAATTTTGTCATTGCAACACGTACAACAAAATTTAAATGCCATCCTAACAGTCACCCATCCAATTACATAAACCTTATTTAACTATCAATAAATAAATAAAGTAAAACAAGCTAAAACCCGCACAGACATGTACACAAACAATCTTACAATAATCCATAATGAGCATGTAATCCTTACTCGGTTGTGTCATGATTTTGTCTCGTCGGTTTCCGTTCCCATGCTTTTATTTTGACATTACTTCCTGAACCTAAGCACCTAGTTTGTGTTTCTAAACCTAACCAAGTAGTTTTTGTGTGCAAAGCAGGGATTCTCAGTATTCTCAGTATTTATTATTGTAACTATGATAACAATGGTATATGGCATGATAATGACCTACAGAATCTCCTAGCTGGTGAGCAGGGACCTCCTAAGTCATAACTATAGTCCGATAACAAGTGATAGTCATTGAATGGTGTGATGACATCCAAATCAGGTGTTTTGATGAGATAATCTAACAAACAAAAAATAATAATTGTCACAATCACTTGATTTAGTAAACATCTACTACTTTAAAGCAGAAGCTTTCCAATTAATCACTTTCTGAGATAATGAACAGATTACACAGCGGGCAATAGCTGGGAAGAAGTGATTGTTCCGCCTCATTATAGCAAATTTTCAAAGTTTGCCTGCGAGACTAATGCCACACTGCAACAGATTATGCATTCTCTTTTTATTGTTGTAGTATGGTATTGTATAGCATACTGTATTGTTAAATCAACATGATACTGTCTGGTTGGTAATTTGCATCCAATTAGCATCTTGGTCTACCTTGTTGAAAGCAGGCAGTTAACATTCCAGCAGTGGCCTGGTTTCAAAGTCGAACAATAACTTGGCTAGCGAGCATACACTCTCCTCTTTTTGCACTTCCCCTGGGGCTCTTTGTTTTGTTGCCACTGTTCATTTGCCCTGACACTGAAGAACAACACACCAACTGGTAAAAATGTAAAACAATTTTTAGTCTTTTTTGAGTAAGTCAAAACTGAAATAAACATAGCCATCACTGGATTTCCCTTTCTGGCATCTCCTTTTTTAATGTGAATTAAATTGGCCTCAGTCATTCTTCGCATTATATGAAATTTTTTTTTGGTTTTAGCAGCTTTTGGATAATGTGAGAAAGTGGAACATAATGAAAGATGTAGTAAATTGTAAATGTACTTTTCTAACTTTTCTAAAAGACAAAGCGCTTTACAATTTTGCCTCTCATTCACCCACTGACACACTGTCACCCATGGATGGCAGTGGAGCTGTCATACAGGGTGGTAGTTGCGCCACAGCAGGGTTCATTGTCTTGCTCAAGGACACTTCAACAAGTGGACTAGAAGAGCCAAGGACTGAGCTGCAAACCCTGTGATTGGTGGACAACTCACTCAAACCTCTGAGCCACAGCCACCCCTATGAACAATTTATTTAACCAGTGTCCTCCAACATGAGAATTCACCACTAAAATCTGTAATTAACATGTGACAGAAGTGTTCCTGTTTAAATGCATTCACTCCTTAATAGGTTTATATGCATCAACCTCACATCACACCTCTCCAAAAATGTTTCTAAACCTACATTCATTGCACCTCAACCCTGGACAACTTTGAAGTGAAATAGTTCATTAAATATAAAACAGAATTAAATAATTACATTTTTAAAAATGCATACATACTATATATGTGTTGCAGGTCATTATATTCTATCAAATAAAACAGAAATATTCTTTTTTGTTTAAACAGGTCAATGGCATTGACCTACGAGGAGCCACGCATGAGCAAGCAGCCTCAGCACTGAAAGGAGCAGGACAGCTGGTTACCATTATTGCACAGTACAGACCAGAAGGTGAGTCAGCACTTATGAAATAATGAACAAGCACAGGAACCCCATGGTTTAAATATTGAATGTCCACAAGTCCAAAGTAGACATTTTGAGGACATGCTTTATCCTGAGGAATATTTAGAATTATTAAACTAACTTTGATTTCCAGAGTTCTGAGAAGCAGGAAAGAGACCTTCACCTGCCCCCCAGAACTAAGCGGGGGGCAGGTGAATCTCTAACCCCCCTTATCTCTGCACTGGAGTGTGGAGAGACCACTATAAACTAATCTTAATACTCACTCTCTATTTTGGACAAGGAAATGTCCTTATATTTGAAAATATAAACTTTTTACCCAAAGGTTTTTTTTTAAATTTCTACAAGGAAATGAAAAATTTTTAAACTGATAAATGATTCCTGAACTTGATTTTATATGAAACTATTTGAAGGAGGTGATTTAAATGTACCTCTTGTCTAAAAATAAATATCCTTTGACAAATTTGAGCTACATTCATTCAACACAGCCAAAATGGCTTGAAAATAAAAAAATGAAATGGCACACTATGTCCCTGGGAACTCATATGTCCGAAACCCAACCATCAAAAAGGTTTACTTTCAAGTTAACCTCAAAAGTCTAACTTGGGATATTGCTCCAAACAGTAGTAGAATGTAAGTGCTATTGATTCTCATTTTATGATTGTTTGCCTAACAAATGGTTGCTTATGCCTTTTATTTTGAAAGTTAAGCTTTCTTTCTCCCTACAGAACATCTACATACTGTATGTCAAACTATTTATTGATTAAAATTCTGTGTTCAAATGAGGATTATTCCACATTACAATTATATGAAATATGTGTTATCAACATCAGCCATAGTGGAGAAAAGTATAAACTGCATAAATTGGCCTAAGACATACTAATTCGCAAAAATTTAATTCAGTTTAATTTGTATAGCACCAAATCACAACAAAAGTCGTCTCTGGACACTTTAGAAAGTCAGGTCTAGACCTTACTATTATTATTATTATTATTATCATTACAGAGGAAAAACCCAACAAATCCCCCTTGAGCAAGCACTTGGCAACAGCAGGGAGGAAAAACTCCCTTTAACTGAAGAAATTTAATAATTTAGGTTGTAAAATAAACTCGTCCAGATTTCTAGACATGAGAGCCACACCATCCAATGTGGGATGGATGCCGTCTCTACTAATCAGACCAAATTTTCCCCAAGATGTTTTCCAATTTTCTATGAAGCTCACATTGTTTTCTGAGCACCACCTAGTCAGCCAGCAGCTGAATGACAACATGCAGCTAAACATGTCATCACTTGTCAGATTGGGCAGGGGGGTCCAAAGAAAACTACAGAGTCTGACATTATTTTGGAAAAGTTACACACTGACTAAACATTAATTTTAGTGACCTCCAACTGGCAAAGTTGGAAGTCATTAGCACCAACGTGAATAACAACCTTAATGTATTTACGTTTATCAGCAGCTTCAAATAGGATTCGAGGTTGCCCACCCTGGCCCCAGGAATACATTTGACTAAACTAAAATATACTTGAAAGAATGTTCTCTTATTCTGTCACTTGTGAATTGGGTGTGAACCTTTTTACAGTGTGCTCCTACAGGACCAATCAGGAACTTATTGTCATGGCACCAGAGTTCCAGCCAGTCAGAGGACTCCAACTGGTAGATGCCCGACCAATCAGGCAAAGCCAAATACTTGAGTCAACACATGCCAGCATGATGCTGCTCCTCGCTCTTAGTCATTCAGGAAAATTTTTTAGCGTGTTGCAACCTGCATGCAACAGAGACCACTGTGTCTCTCTCGCTCTCTCCTTCTTAAAGGTTAAAGGCCTTTTGTCGTTATGTGTTTATGTGTGTAATCCATGTTAATTTGCAATTCCTTCAGTTTAATTATTGGACTAGCTATCCAGAAATTTTAACAAAATAATTTTAGAAAAAAAGAAAGACCAAATCATTGTAAAAGGAGTGTTTGTTCTGTTAAGGCCCATTGCTTGTTACTGCTGTGAAGAAATTTTTTGATTCTGCTTAAGGGCAGGCATCCCCTGCTGCTGTAAAGTTCACAAAGTGGATTTGTTGAAACTGAGCAAACTGCACTGTGTGCCTTAGAGAAAGCTGCTGCGCTTTTGAACTCTGAGTTAATAGTTGCAAGGCTGTCTGTCTGATGCTGAAATCAGACTGGTCGCCCAGCCGTTTTGCCATAGCGCCCAACTAAAAGGGCGGTTCTAAATGTCTCCTGTTGATGACTTGATTCACATGAAGTACCCAAACAAACAAAAAAGAGCACAGAAAGGCCATCTGGTGGTCAAATTAGTGAATTGAGTGTGAATGAAAAAACTTTGGAAGCAAACAAGTGCCAATAAAGTTGTAATATTAATTCCTTGCAACAAAATAAAACTTGGCTTTCTAAATGAATGCATTAACACTGCATTAACTACATTGTTTTATTAAAACAAAAATAATAGGTTAACCCAGCTTAGTTTGACATACAGTAGCTTAGCTTGGCTTGGCTTAGCTTAGCCTATCTTACTTTATACTCCTATTCAATGCTACGTGCCAAGTGAATACCTCTAAAGTCAACAGAGAAGGTAGGGTTTAACAATATTTAGCTTTTAATCATTCACTATTATCAAACTTTAGATTTCTTTTATCAATTTTAACAATTTAATCCTATGATATTTATCTGATGTATTGTTAAACAAAATGTCTTGATTTAGCTGTGCTTATTCCAAATACTGGTGATTCACTTTTAATAATTTTTGCATTTCTTTCTTTAAAGATGCATTAAACAACAGTAGTTTCAAAGAGAAATTGTTTAGCTTACATGAACTTAAAGTCACTTCTCCTACGCAAACAGGAGATAGCTGGAGTTAATACAAGACCATCTTACTGAAGTAAGTACAGAACGTGACCAGGAAGGACTGTTCCATGACGCTATAATAGAACTGGAAGACTTAAGGGCCCAGACCACAGCATATGTACACCATATGGTAGCTGATCAACAAATAATTTCTGATCTGCAATGGCAACTGTCAAATGCTCAAGCCCACCGACAACCAGAAACTAAAGAAGAGGACCTGCTGCACACCAAACAGTGAGTCAAAACAGACCAACTGAAATATCCAGTTTTACAGACACAAAAGCAGACGCGGCTTGTCTCCCCAATCTGATTCCTTTGGGACCAATAGTCTCCATGTAACTTTGTCTCCAACACTTGCACCACTCCTTGATGATCACAGTAATCCACCTTCACAACATCCCATAATCCATGATCTTCCTAAATTAGCTTGACACATTAAATATTTAGAACTGGGTCCCAACATATCCCAAAACATTCATTCTTAATTGAAAGACATTGAGTTCTACTTGAAACAGTTTCCAGAGGTTATTGTCAGTGACAGTGTCTGGCTAACCACTAGACATGATATACTGACTTTAATGACTGTCAACCCCACAATGTACAGAGTAACCGCCAGGTGCCAGAACAGGAGTTCTCTAATCACTTAACTCAAATGATAGTGCTAGCTGCTTTTAGATGTCAAACAAAAATGTCAGGAGCCTCCTCATAAGTACTGCTATAGACTTTCTCGTGCCTATTATGGCTTCTGAAACAACCCCAGCATGGAGAAAGGGCTCAACTTTAAGGAAATCTTTGTGCATAACCTCCATCCTGAAACCAGTCATCACTTAAAGAGCCCGTGGCACTATTCCTTGTTTTCTGACTTATCTACAATGCTACAATGGTGAATTATCTTAGGCGTGACCTAAAGCTAAAAAAATTTGGTGTATGTATGTATTCTACTATTTCTATGCAGAAGCAACTCGGTTTATACAAGTCTCGCAAACTCTTGCTCGCTTGACTATTTTCTAACAAAATTAAGTATTACGTGATGGTTTTTAGGATTTACTTGAATAGTCATAATCTCCAGGCAGTTGCACATTATACTTTATTTTGTTAGAAATAGTCAAGCGAGCAAGAGTTTGCGAGACGTGTATGTTCTAGTATTTCTATGCAGAAGCAACTCGGTTTATACACGTCTCACAAACTCTTGCTCGCTTGACTATTTTCTAACAAAATTAAGTATTACATGATGGTTTTTAGGATTTACTTGAATAGTCATAATCTCCAGGCAGTTGCACGTGCATGTGAACTTGCCTGACATCCACCGGTGCCCCCACCATATTAGCAAAATGTTATATTGCCTTGTTTGTTGTGTATATTTTCAATAAAGCTTATTTTAAAAAAAAAAGACATCCGCCAGTGTCATTGTAAAAGCTGAATTTTTCAACTGTGCTTGGTTTTGTGGATGTATTTTCCCTCCTGCTGCTGCACTGTGACCAGAGGATGTGGAGAAAAATACAGGACCTGAGTTTACTGCATATTCAGGAATGTTCCTGTATGGGGGCTCAGTGTTTTACCTGACTGGGTCTACTCCATGGTCTTTTCAAAGCCTAAACAAAAGAAATGATATTTTCTTACTGTTACAAAGTTTGTGAAAAGGATTTGGAAAAGATAGTAATTACATGATGTGATTCAGCAAACAACAATCAATTTATTCTGTTCTGTTTGTCGTTTCTTTGTCAAGTATTTAAAGTGTAATAGTCCTGGCTAATTCTGATCTACTAAGGTGTTATGTTGTGCGTGTGATGTGGACCCAAAATGCAGACACTGAACTAGGGAGAGAAGTGACTACAGAAAGGAGTTTTTAAAAATAAATCAGATTATGCTGAGTGACAAGGAGGCTGAACAGGTACTGAACTGGCTGGAAGAGCAGCAGGCAACTGAGGACAGGTTGGGTCAGAACCAGGAGGACTGGGATGAAGAACCAGGAGGACCAGGACAAAGAACCGGGAGGGGTCAGTGGCTCGACGAGGAAACAGCAGAGGCCAGGAGGAGCAGATGACCAGGGCAGGCAGGTGAGAAGGCAGGAGGACGGCAGGTAACAGGAGGACCAGAGGATCGGGACATGCAGGCAAGTTGACAGGAGATGGCAGGTAACAG